CTTCGGTTTGACCCGACCTCACATAGCCACTACGCCATTGAGGATGGTCCCATGATTTGGCGAAAAGTCTCAGATTTAATGCCTTTTCCATGGAACTTCCGCCGGCAAACGACCGGGGCTAACGATCGAGCCATAAAAACGACTCGAAGCAATGAGATGAAATTAAGGCTAATTGAAACCAGGCTACTGACAGTAAAAAACAATGTAAACGCATTTCATGGCAATCAAAGAACATATGCGATACAAAGCCGACACAACTCCTCCGCGAAGTAGGACGCAAAACGTTAGCTTATGTTTTCTTATCTCGATTTCCGCTGTTATTTTAAAAAGGTAATGCTCAAACTCACATCCATTTCCCCCCGTGATCTTGGGGAGTCCTTAAGAAGAAGAAGAAGAAGAAGAAGAAGTGCCTTTATTTACCATACATTTCACCAGTCCGTATTTTATATTCCATATTTTATATCCAGTCCGCAGTCCGTAATCCGCAGTCCGTGTTTTATACTGACCGCCATAAATTCATCCATACACATAACCTACTACAGCACTACAAGGTAGGAGATCAAGCCAGCGTCGAAGTTGAAGGAGTCGAAGAGCAAATGCTCATCTTCTTGTCAAGTTTAACGCCTGGACGGGTCAAAAGCTTTTGAATCGTACTAATTTGAAAGATTCCTGCCTGTCTTAAATTTGGTAAGACCTCTATCCTAACCGTGCTGTAGCGCACGATGCACACTCGCAGCGAGGAATTTGATGCTACCGAACTTCGGCGAGCGCGTGCTTCTTTGGAAACGATAGATCTTCGCGCTCTCGAGTTCGGACCCGATTAATTACGAAGTGCGTCTACTACGAGTGAGTGAGTGACTCATTTGCATATCTCAGTCCCTGCAATAACTCGTGGTACGCTCGCGCGTACCCACGAGTTAAAAAGGGGCGAGTTCCTACGACGACAGACATGGTCGAGGGGGCTTGGTGTGAGAGGGTGACGTAAAAAAACGAGGTAGCCTGGACAAGTCTTGCAGAAAAACAGAAGTTAAGGGGGCCGTGTCACGGCTGTTCATAGTTCATTTTGTTAATATTGCCAATGCACCTCCATTTTCGCTATGGAACATGAGAAATTACTTTTGAAAGATAAAATCAGAGCATCTTGTCAAACAAATGTTTCCCAAGCATTTATATCAAACGTTAACAGGCAAAGAAAATGACCTTTGAAAAACTTTTAGGCTAATAAGTTATCAAAAACCAAGATTCTTAAAGATTGTCCATCCATTTCTCTGTTTGTATTTTCTCTATGATTTATATGGCTCCTTTTCGCGTTTTGAGCAGTTAGTATGTTTCACTTAGTTCGGTAGCAGTTCCATCTGTTTCGATTTTGATCAATTTCGTGTCACAGCTCCTTTAAGCAAAGCAACATTTCGCGCGAAGGTAGCGTATTATAACAGCTGCTAATGGATTTTGAGATTGTCTGTCCTTCTGTCCTGAGATAGGACAGATGTTGTTACTAGCGTATGATGGTAAGGTAACTTTAGGAAAAGAATTCTTTGCTCTGTAGGAAAGCTGCCGTAGCAATGAAAACCCCACACTTTCAGTACATTCTTAAACGTTTATGTTTGCGTTCGTTTAGGATGACAATATTTCTTATCTTCGCGTGATATTCTATTGTATACTACAACTTCCTATGATGACCTTATGTACCTAGCTTGCCTTAAGTTCAATACTCATTTTGCCTGCTTTGCTTTGCCTTTTCAGAGTGCTTTTTGTTTTTTGTTTTTTTGAAGCCGAACGTAGAGCCTGAACATTTGAACGACAACTGCCTGAGGTAATACGCCAGGCAGCGCTTTCGTGGTTAAAGTCCTCTGATATTGTCGCTGCAAACTGGACCATATTATTATTCTTTTTTAACTTAAAGAGAGAAAGGTTTGAAAATAAAAAGTTGTTTCTGGTGTTGAAATATGATATTCGCGGGTGTATTGTTAGGAATCTCCCAGCACATTGGCAGTTTACCTTCAGGTCCCAAGAAAGTAAAATAAGTTTCATATTTTTCTCAGCATCTTTCACGACATAATCAGTGGCCTCGTTAATATCTTCAGTATGTTTATAAAGTCACCGTATCTGTTACGCTATTACACTGGTACAAATATTTTCAAGAAATGAATCTTTTTCCGTAACTCCGCCCATAGTTAAAGATCACAAATTATGTAGATTTAGAAAAATTGCCTAGTATATAATTTACAACTAGAAAATCTTCAGATTAATCCCTTTGGACTTCGCCGGCAAGAATGCAAATGATGTTTCTTTGTTACTAATTGATTATTATGTAATGATTTGTGAAAAGTATGCAAGCTCCGCTTCATCGGTTGACTATTGTTAATTTGGTAACTTAAGTTCTGATAGTCATCAAATGCTCCAAAAAATGTATGCGAATTTGCTCTACGGACATTTCTTCCTAACAGAGAGGTTTTTAAAGGAATCTAATTTCAAAATCCCCCTTAACAGCCTTGTTCTTTTACCTGTACCACTTGGTGGCCCCGAGAATGGCCCAACAAAAAAGTAGTTGCATTAATAGCATAATCATACTTTTTCCCCACTACAGGGGTAAGAAAGTAAGACACAGTCAATTGATTAAAGATGAAACTAAGCGACTTACCTTAGTTTTTGTTCCCCTCCTGCAAAACGTGTCAACTGTACATAGCCCAATATGACTCCTTAATCTTGATGTTTATTCGTTTAAAATACCCTGTGTTGCAGATTGAAGCTTTTCTCTCTCGCGGCAGGTTGTTTAAGGGTCGGCCGTAGATCGCCACATTTTCGGCCGGAGGCCGAAGCCACGAAAGGCCAAAACCCGAAAGAAAAGAATCTCTGGCACCCAGCACCATTCCATTTGACCTTTGATCAATCATCGGACTGTATTTAAACCAATCAGATCAAACTGCTACAATGGTGATCTCATGGATTGGCACGTGAAGATATCGGTGTTAAAATCATTGTTTTTCATTTTGCATATACCAGCTCAAAGAAACAGCGAATTAATTAAAGTAAGCTTTGCAAATCAAAAAATGTTTCGTGAATGAAATTCTATCCGCTCGTTTGTATTAAGGCTTAGTTTAACTTCGTACTTCTTTAATCTCAGTCAGGAAACTTGCCAAGTAGTTTGCTTTCAACACTTGCATCCATTTGATAAACTTGTTTTATAAAATCTAAGTCACGTGACTCATGTTTGCCTTATAAGGTCAAAATGGGAATACTTAGTGAAACTGTATTCGAATTCGTTTCTTTTTTTTTCTATGCCTTCTCCTAGCAAGACTTACGAACAACTTTAACAACAACAACAATAACAGCAATAATGTTTTTAATCACGCCTGTGTGTAAATTGAGTAAAATATGTCAGGTGTCTTAGCAAAGATACTGATAAGCGATAATCTATAAATAAGTTTTATGTAAAATGGGGCATATCTGCACATAAATTTAAAACAATTGGCTATAGGCGCTTGCCATTTTTCAAGCATGCTGCCAACTCAGGACAGCCTAGCAACTGGCCATTTTTCACCTCACAAGATCCTGGTGTAGCAAAAATATAATTGTAACACCCATGTATTTCCCTTTTCCTTTGCAATGCTAAAATGTGATTGTAATGCAAAGTTTCATGCATGGCTACTGACAACATGCAAAAGGGGTGGGAGACTAGGAAAGAGAGCTTCCAATAGGAGCGGCATTTTCAAGGTTTTGGTCTGAGATTGCAATTTTTGCCCCGGGATGTTAACCCTTTTCAGTATTTACCAAATACGTGAATAGCAATTTTCGTGCGTTTTGATTGGCTCCAGTAACTGGGAATATCCTTGGCTATTCACTGTTTTGCGACCGGGGCCAGAAGACGAAAAGACGAAATTTCGCGGAAAGACGAAATTTGAGCGATAAATAAAGCAGCCATACATACAAATAGGAAGAAAGCGACGAACTTCGGCTTGTCAGTGTTAACTGGTAGGTAGAAAATTATTTTCATGCTGAATTTGCAACAAAATCGTAAAAATGCACTTGACAAAATCCCCGGAATGTGTGTAAATTGTAAACAAAGTTCCTACTCAGTGACGTTTTTTATTTACAAAAAGTTACTTTTTTCATTTTTATCCAACTGAGTTTGGTAAATACTGAAACAACTATCCCCCGGTCGGTGAGCCGCGCTAGATATATACCTCAACGCTTTGCGTCCCGGTATAACCACCACCAATATTCACCTCCCCTTCGGAGATAGTTGTATACTATCCAGGGGAGTAGCAGGTGCTTCGTGCCGTGTAGAAATAACCAGGTTTAATGAAGCACCTAATGTCATGCTATTTGCTTTCTTTTTAAAAAGCTAAAAGATGAAGTTCTATCAACTGAATTCCAACAATAATGGTCCTGTATTTTAGACTTTGTTTAGGTATTGAAGCAAAAACGTTTCCTGTTGTCTGTTACTGCGACTGGCGCTGGCAAGAATGGACAGAGCAATGCCTTCAAAAATCACCAACACATTATCCCTGATGAATTTTCTTTCATATCTTTCTGGTAACTTTACACAAGGATTTTGTGTAAGAAGCGTAAAGGCACCAAGTATTGAATTTAGCACAGAATTGATCTAAAACACCAATATCCTCGTAAACTTGTGTTATCCTCCTTGGCTTCTTCTTTAAATAGTGTGAATAAAAGTAAACTTGTATCTGGATAATAACTCTGCGAGCACCATGGTCTTTTTCTTTTTTTTTTGGGCTTACTCGAGGCTTTCATTTGCTTATTTCGTAATCTCATTAAGGCTTCACTCAATTAATAACTCGGAATTATGATAGTTCATAGAGAGATCTGAACAATTTTTCATAGTGTTCCATCCGCAACCTTCTCTTGATCGTTATTTTTGTCCTTAAGATATGCTGAAGCAGTACGCGAAAACACTTTCATTTGTTGCATGACCAGTTCCTCGGCATCAGGATAGGTTAGGACCCTCAAGTAAAACACGCACAAAAGCACTCCTCGGATTACGGTCTGGGAGCTTGCAGCTCGTTTTCACTTCGTTTGACTTGGAACTCCTTGAAACATCTGAATACTATTTGAGCCCATTCATCAGAGTTTAGGAAAAATTTTCTTTTTATGCTCTCCAACTGATCGATGACCTTGGTTTGTTCGTCCCGAGGCATTTCTTTTGGTTTGTTCCATGCCAGCACACTACACAGACCATTACCCTTAAATTCTTTAAAGGTCGCTTTGATACGATCAGATAAACCATCACCTAGGATCGTCTCATTGTTGCGCTGAAAGGCAGGCCCCATGTGTAGTGTCAAGAACGAGTGAAGAGCAGCGATAATCTCAGCATTCTCCGACAGCTCAACTTTCAAGTTGGTATTTTGAACGGCTTCTGTCTCAACAACTGGCGCCATTGTTACTTCGCTTTCTGCCCAGAAGGGTGTTGAGTCCAACATGTCTATCAATCCATTGAAGAGACTTCTTCCACACTGAACAAACATGTCACCGATTTGCCTCCTGGCGTCGTCTCCAACGTAGTTGATCTTCCTTGGAAGATGCAGCTGCCCTATGAAATCTCCACTTCTTGCTGCCATTACACTCATCGCTGCGTCGATACCAAAATCTCTCCAACTTTTGGTCCAGCTCTCGGGGTTAGTGAACCGAACTAGCATGGTTCCATTGAATGCAAATTCTCCGCCAATTGGTTGGCGGAGGGTAGAACGGGTTATGGATGAATAAAGAGGAAACATGAGATGATTGGTGACCCTGCCTTCGTACTTATGTCGCCAGTAAAATGGAGCGAGGTAAGAATAGCCCTTGTTCAATCCAAGAAACATACGATAAACAAAACCATCTGTACCTGAGAAAATACAAAAAGAAAGCTTCAGTGGCTTGGGAACCTAAAACAACCACTGAGGACATAAAAGATGTTTAAAATATCGTTGAAAATTGAAGCATGGTTGCCGAGCAGACGGAACATACTGGCGATGGAGTTGCTATCTGCTCGCTGGAGCTCTATTAAGTAGTCCGAGAGTCCAACTCCTTGGTAGCCCACGTAGTAGGCGCTTGGAAGTAGTGGACACAAGAAAAAACGGGCGCTCGAGAAGGAGACTTCCAAGCGCCTGCTACGCAGGCCAACTCCTTGGCTTCACATGTAAATGGTCAACTGGTTTGCCTCCTGGCAGCTTTAGGATTCTCACCTTTGTTTTGTTGAATTAAACTTTTTGGTTTATAAAAACCTTGGGTTGCAGAGGCTTTTCAGGCTCGGTTTCCAGTTTCTGCCAAGTCTCTATAGTGACCCGCGCGAAAAGCTCCCATAATTTTGTGAACTTGACGGTGCACAATCAACTTAACATTAAATCGCTTCGCCGCCGATGGCTAAGAAGTGTTGGCCTACGGCCAATTTCGAAACACCTCCGCCGCACTTGATCGCCGCACGCAAGAAAAAACCTCTGCATGGTACCCAAGGGTATTCGTGCATTTGCTCAGCCACAGTACTAGTCCGACGCATTGATGAACTGCTGTGGTTGAATAATGTACGGACACTTGGGTGAACAGAATCGTCTGTAATGACGGGGGTAGAAGGAGAATCATTTGAATCTTGATATTCATTATTCCTATCGTTTATACCTCAATGATTCATGATTCCAACAAGACTTTTCTTCCAGATTCATGATTCACGAAGACTTTTGATCACCTATTCATTTAATGATTTTCTCAGTGGCTACTTAGTCTCGTTTTAATAGTTTTTTGGGTGTTCAAACTTCTGTTTTCTTCCATAATTATGTAGATCTTGGACCACTATTTCTCTGTATCATCATTCCTTTAGTCCAGATATGGAGTTTTTTGCAACTGAACATTAAGCACCAGTGTCAATGGAGAAACAAGCGGACTGTCAGCCACAAATTATATAGGGGGGTCCGGGGCATGCTCCCCCGGAAAAGTTTGAAAATTGAACTCTCGGAAACACCATATCCTACTATACTATACATTCCCTGGATCGAACGCAATTAATTCATACGTCTGTTTTCTTGAGCTTTTCTCAAAGTTTGGTTATTCATGACTCCCCAGCCGAAATACAAAGATTCATGATTCCCAAGATTTAAAAACAAAGATGCATTATTCTTACAAGTTTTGTAACTATGAGTCGTGATTCATGATTCCGCTTCCACCCCCCGATGTAATGGTCTTTTCGAGTGACGCAAAGCTTCACTGTTTTGTTAATTTACCTAACCTTTCAAATCAGAATCAATGCAAACAACGTGGGTCTTGTCTTTTCCATCGTCCGGAATAGCATAATGGCGAATAAAATTTAAAGCTGCCTCAAACTGCGATCCTTTCCCTCGGACGTCTGTCTTTCCGGGACACGTAGTAAAAATGTCGCTGTCCTCCGTAACCAAAGTTGCAAAGTCCACCTTACATCTACATATAGGCGTACGGGCAATTTTTTGCCAGGGGGGGCGGTAATCCATTTGCCCGAAAAATTCTTGCAAGTTGCCCAAGTTTTATAAAACAGTCGAAAGGAACCTAGGGCCATGCAACAAAATAGGCCGTACTGGCATATGAAAGTGGCTCGATACAGTTTTTCAGAGTCAATACCTGCCAAGTTTGAGCATAAACTACGTCGCCACAAACAAGCATTTCAGGGGAAAAACTTGCCACTACAGTTGTATTAGGTAAAGAGGGAAATTTGTCACGATCAGGATTGCAATGACATCGGAGCTGTCACAGCAACGAAATGACGCCATTACCTATTATACTTGCAGCAATATTTCTCACTGGGAACTGTTCTTACAAAATCGTTCAGGGGAGCTCTTCCCTCCAATCGTCGCCTCGATGTTCGTGAAGTTAAAACGGAACTGTAAGAGCGTTATCGAGATATTTTGGGATGAAGTTTTTATTGTTAGAAATAAGGTAAAAAAGGTAAATCTTGATGTTTAGTCGTAATCTGAAGAAAACGGAGCGCTTTTGACATGCAATTTCACCTCACAGTAGTTTCAATCTTATTAAAAACATGTATAAAAGATCATGGAGACAGCTCCTGCCAATTGCTGTAAGGAAGGATTTGATTAGCGCTCGATCTTGTTAGGGGTTTCGTAAACATTTCGGTCTACTTAAACAAATTAGTGAATAATTTTTAAACCCCTCCATAGATTTTTTTAAGAAAATTATGATTCTTCTCGTAATTCAAACTGAGAATTAGTCAGCCACTTCACTTTCAGACCCATTGCTGCGCGCGCTGATGCGTGCTCTGCCACACACTGTTCTAGGAGCGGAGGTGATTCTAGAAAGTTATGCGGAAGTTTATTCTAATCAATTCATGACTGGAAATAGCCCACTCCAGCTAGTACAGTGAAGTACAGTGCCCAACAAAAAAAAATCAGCATATGATACCCTCCCCTTATAACCAGAAACTCATCACGTGCTAGGCAACCACTGTCTCGTGTGAACGTAACTGAATTATTACGCCGACTTCTGGTTAAAATAGATATATATCTATATATATATATATCTCTTCGAAATAATAATAATAATAAAAAACATGGAAACGTCTTTAAAAACTGGCTTTGCCCAAATTTTCTCTTGCTGCCCAAAAATCTGAGTTGCCCAAACTTTGGGGGGGCTGCAGCCCCCCTCGCCCCCCCGGCCCGTACGCCTATGTACATCTACAAGCGGAGTAACAAAACAATGAAAGAAAACGTAAATCTTAGGAAAAAGTTAGTCAGCTTTCAACTAAAAAGGAGGTTTTTGAAACTTGTCACAGTTTGCAAGGTTTTCAAGGGCGCCAGTCCCTGGGCATTTTCCAGCTTTAAGCCCGCCACCAGAATGATGCTGATATACGCTTACGAATTTACACCGGTACAAGGCCCCGGTTTTACAGGCAGTAAAGTAACTTTAGTTGGACCTTTCATTAAGTTACAATTAAGTTACAAGCTGCAGCCACTTTAATTTGACTTACACCTCACAATTTCGCCATCAAAAATGACCCACTCTGTCAAGTGGCTGGTGTAGCTGCAAAAGATCCTGTCTGTTGTATCTGGATTGCGTAACTTGGAGCTTTGTGGAGATGAGATATTTCCCGAGGAAACGATCACTCTGTTTCAGCAGCCTTTCATTGAGCTCTTGTATCAAGTGATCTACTAGAAGTAAGTAGAGTGCTTTGCGCCCTTGCTGTTTGGGTGTGTTGGCAGGAACATTGACTCGATGCTGTTGATTTGCTGTTAGGTGGGGTGTTCTCTGATCAATATTCCACTCCACCTCCATTTCCTTTGCCATTTCAAACAGCTCGTCCCACACTATCTTGTCATCTTGCTCGTCTTGTAGTACATTGATCACAATTTGGCTGTTCGAAACTAACTGGCTGACAGGTAGATGCGCCCCTGTTTTAATTGGTTCAACAGTAAATATAGCTCTTAGTAAAACCCTGCAAAAGCGAGAATCTTTGAGTCAACACATCGCTATTTAAGCTGGAATTTCATTAAAAAATGATGATGCGAATCTCGTCACTTTAAGAAATATAATTGAATTCTAGGCTAAACTTTTTGCCATGGCTGTCTAAAGTATCCCCTCTTTGTTCATACTCTCACTAGCTCAACTTAACAATGAGACTACGAGGTCAGGTCCCGTTTCCTATGAGTCAGTAGGTGTCCTCCACGCACTTTGTTGTGTGTGCCACTTCGTTAGAAAAAGCACACTCCCTTCCGTAGCTTTAAACTCGATCGTAAATTTTCAACTCACCCGCGGCTGGGTGTTTTGATAAAGCAATGTACGTCCATCTTTTTTGCTAAAGAATCTCCCTCACACGAAAAAACAGATTTACATCACTTCTGCTAAGGGCAAATTCAATGTTAGAAAATTGCAAACGAAGAGGAAATCAGGGCCAAAGGCTGTAAATGCCACTGCATTTGCATAATATTTACAAAGGCAAGCATCTGGCACTTATGATCTTTGCCCCTGATATACCTCTTGTTTGGATTTTTTGCATCATATTTGCCCCGAGCAAATTTGGTACAAATCTAGTTTGTGTGTGCTCTTTGCATTGCTGTGATATGCAGACTTTTTTGTTAGAGGTGGTGTGGACACTGGCTTAAGTTTAACACTTTCAGGATACCGAAAAAGATGCCTCAGTTGCTCCAAATCAATACGGCTAGGACGTATTTATTCCAGTATACCAATTGTCCAAGTAATGACAGGATCAGGAGGGAAAGTGAGAGGTTTATGCCATGACCTAACTGGAATGACATGATATCGCCTCATGTGACACAGCCCAAAGCCCTAATACAAAGGTTATCCGCGGGTTTTATTGATTAAAACAGCTGCGAAAGCGTTGAAGATAGTGCATGATACTTCGGTATTGATGAGAAAAAAAGGTGGCTCTCTCAAATCTATACCTCTCTGATTAAGTTTGTCCCCATACGCCACTTTCACATTTCCCATAATGCACCTTATTTGCCCCCCAAAATTTTGCATAACCTTTGTTTTTCATTTCTCCTGGGTATTACAGCCGTCCCAAAAGAAATTGAAAACAAAGGTTATGCAAAATTTTGGGGAACAAAGAAGGTGCATTATGGGAAATGTGGAAGTGGGCTATAGTTCATTGGATCATACATTCAAACTTCTCCACTTTAGTGACATAATCTGCAGCCGCAATTTCAAAGATAAAACATTCGAACGCACTTGCTAATCCCTGATTACTGCTAGTTTAGTAGATAAATTTCTGGGACATATTTACTCTTTACGGTCTGGCAGGATGAGGAGAGAAAGTAAAACATCGAACACGTCATCACCTCAGGTGACACTCCCCTACCACGATAAGATAAGAGTGCCCCTCTGCTCT